CACATTTTACGTCGAATGCCCTTCCTGACACAACACTCTCTATTTATCCGGCCTTGGGACCAACACAGAAGTCACTGGCTTGAAACACCTATGGCTAGATTGTGCTCCATCTACTACTGTTAGGTGAATGCTAGGAGTAGGGCACAAACAGCTGGTGGTGCTAATTTTCCAGTCAAGTGCTATTAAACATCTGCAGGAGAAGAAGACATAACAAGATGATTTAATTAAAAGTGGACCAGTCAAACCTCAAACAAAAACCATATGGAAAACGTGATGGAAATATGGCAGCTCTGTGTGTTTCATATATTCATTTGAGGACAGCAACAGTTTCCTGATCGCCCCATGTAGATATGATGGTTTCAGCTTTTCACTAAAAGCTTGAGTGACAAATAACTTACATACTTTGTGCACACCAGAATTTATTCTCTAAATTTATTATTTCTCTGAATCTTTTTGCACTTTGTCACATTTTGCTTTTATTGATACACCAGCTTCTTCACCATACCCGAGTTAACTGTCTGATGAGTTCACAAAGTGCCAACTACAGAGACAGAGCGTTTTAATGTTAAATTGAAAGCAGTTCAACATCTTAAAAAATTTAAATGGTTTAGACAGTATGGATGCAAGATGAGGGATATAAGAGGACTGGAAAATATTAGATGTTGTTAGAAAATGTCTAAAACTGGCTTATCAGCCTAAAAGCACAGCTAAAGTGGTAGCAACCTCGACCAAACACAAAAAAACTGCCATGGCCTTATGACACTGTTTACAAACATAAAGTACACAAAAAAAGGAATACTAAAAGGCCAGCCAGTCAATTGTCCAGCTGGATTTATCAGCTCATATTAGCTTTCTGCAGACATAATAAATCAATGTACTTTGTTGGATGAGAAGCAGAAAGATGCCAAAAATACATTTGACATAATTTAACAACAGTTATTCCATTAGTTAGTTGTCCACTCAATGGGACAGTTTCAACTGTAATATGTCCCACACAGTATCTTAAATGCTGATTTATTATTATATCTCAAACTCTCAAACATCAAGACAAGCCTTAAAACCCAGCAATTGTGCCACTGTTGGCAGGGATGACAGTGATTATGCTGCTCTCATTGTAACCTGTACAGTATTGCACTATGCTGATACTGCTGTGGATAAAGTAATGCTGTTATAGATGCTATATCTTCAAAATCTAGTAAGCTGTTAGTTGGCTGATGAATTTCTTTACACAGTTTTTAAAAAACTATGGAAACTCTAAATAAGGAAAATGAAGCATTTCATATAATCATAAAATCACCTTTTATTTGGCCAAGTATGTTACACACAAGGAATTTGTTTCCAGTATAGAACTGAGGCAGCTACCTGCGGCCCCAATTCACACTGATGGTTCTAATCATCAAGGGCAACTTGGGGGTTCAGTGTCTTGCCCAAGGACACTTCAAAATGTGGACCACAGGCACCATGATTCAAATCTCCAACCTTACAGTTGGGAGACAACTGCTCTACCCACTGAACCACAGTCGCCTCCTTTTTCATGGTTAAAATGTGTTTTTCAGTTTCCTACCACAACAGCACCTTTAAACTGAATTGAAAACAGAAAGAAAGTCATTACTGAGAGCGGCCCCAGGCGGTTTCATTTAACAAAGGGCCATTAGTTTTAAAGAATTCTTGTCAACGTGGTTAAAGTAGAGAGTTCATTCTCATTAAATGTTACTGTAGCATGGAAACTACTTAAAGTTGTGCTCCTCTCAGCATGGTCAGACTCCCACAGCATTATGGGTATGTTTCTAAATTAGTAACATGTAGGAGACCACTGTCAGTTACTCATTTTAATGTAAAAATCATCTAACAGCACTTACTATTACTATATGTCAGTCACAGGAGGAATCAATCATCTTAATACCAAAAGCTTTAAGAAGACCAGTCCACCTTTGTGTAAACAATCACTGGGTCAGTCCCTACATGTATAATCACAGTCCCGAAACCAACCACATGTAGGCCTCAACATTACTGCATTAGAGGTGGAGGTTTACTTACAGTGACAGTGGGGGCAGCAAAGGCCAAGCTGAAGAGCAGAGGCAGTGGGCAGACTTCCTGTCTGGGCAGGATGTAGGGCAGAGACAGACTGCGGTCATTACAACTGTACCCAGAATGCACTGGTTGGAAAATATCTGTCAGCTCCAAGAAGTAAAGACTGATAACAGAGGAGGCCAGGATAGGGAGCTGCAATAAAGAATAAAGAACAATACAAAAGAAATGAGATGACTGTTCAAACTATACTGCACTGTATCCAGGAAAAAGAGTAAAATAGTAAAAGTGAACCTTATGGTGCTGCTAAAAATAAGACATGGACTCATCTGGGGACAACAGTTTGTGCCAGTATTTCACAAGATAACTAAAATTGTTGACCTAATTGTCAGGTTATCAACAAAGCAAACCAATACTTGTTGAGATACATCAGTCTAAACCAGCAGCTTTCAAAGTGTGAGGTGTGCCTCCTCTGGGGGGCGCCAGCAGACTTCAGAGGCACAGCATGAGGAAAAAATTAACCAGGAAAACTAACTGTAAATGTCAAACCTCAGCTCGGCTATGTGTGGGGCACAATGGATCAATTTGTAGTACCGACAGTGAGCGAGGAGGCCGAGTCTGGGGCGAAAATAGAGGAGCTATGATGATTATTTAAAGTTTGGGTCTTCATGGACTGGTTCTGATGTTGCTCCACCGCCACAGTGTGTATTTGCAAATTGGTGCTCGCTAATGACAGTAGAGCTGTGTTGCCACTGTCGGGAACCTAAGGAGCAGTACACCCCTGTGCTTCCCTTAACCGTCACCTGGCATAACCTCACGGATTGTCGCAGAAACCCATTTTTATATCTTACTCCTATCTTAATATACAGTAAGCTACACCAACAGTGTGTGTGTGTGTGTGTGTGTATACATATATATAGTTATATATTTATATAGTTATGATGGGCTGTCCCTCACCAGGAGGTGTGAGAGAGAGGGAGGAAAGGAGGACTCAAGGTGCAGACTCAGGTGCTACTAAATACATGTCTTTATTATAAAAATGTACAGATAAGTAGACAAAGTCCATGAGTGATCAAACCAGGGTTGAGCTGTGGAAGCTGAGAAAACCAGGACGGTCCAGTAAGCAGACAGGTGAGTGGCAGGAACCAGGAGGACAAAAGAATCAATAGCACAGAAAACTGTAAGCGCTGAAATCTAAGTCACGTAAGAAACACGGCATCAACATAACAAAAAGAATCAACAGCACAGAAAAACTGTCAGCGTTGAAACTTAATGTAACGTAGAATCACACACATTTAATGCTCTGGCGACGATGGAGCATCTACCAGAGGTTTAAATAAGGAAGGGAGGTAATCAATGGAGGGGCCTCTGGCCATGTCCCACCGGGATGAGGCCCCGGGGAAGACCCAAGACACGCTGGAGGGACTATGTCTCTCGGCTGGCCTGGGAACGCCTCAGCATTCCCCCGGAGGAGCTGGAGGAAGTGTCTGGAGAGAGGGAAGTCTGGGCATCTTTGCTTAGACTGCTGCCCTCGCGACCCGGTTCCAGATAAGCGGAGGAAAATGGATGGATGGATGGATGGTAATCAATGGAATGCACCTCAGCTGTGCGCTTCACCCAACAAGTCACTAATTGAATGCACCACAGCTGAGGCGCCGATCCCGCAGATCGAGAGAGCGGGAGAATGAAAGGAGGAAGAGAGGCAGGTCACGCCGAGCGGACCTGGCATATATGTATACATACAGTCAGGTCCATAAATATTGGGACATCGACACAATTCTAACATTTTTGGCACAATGGATTTGAAATGAAATGAACAAGATGTGCTTTAACTGCAGACTGTCAGCTTTAATTTGAGGGTATTTACATCCAAATCAGGTGAATGGTGTAGGAATTACAACAGTTTGCATATGTGCCTCCCACTTGTTAAGGGACCAAAAGTAATGGGACAATTGGCTTCTCAGCTGTTCCATGGCCAGGTGTGTGTTATTCCCTCATCCCAATTACAATGAGCAGATAAAAGGTCCAGAGTTCATTTCAAGTGTGCTATTTGCATTTGGAATCTGTTGCTGTCAACTCTCAAGATGAGATCCAAAGAGCTGTCAC